CTGCCTATGACAAACAAAGCTGCTGGGAACATGGCTGACCACATGTCCTTGTGGCATGATTGAGCATCCTTTGGATATATAACCCAAAGTGGCATTATTTTTTTAATTAATTAATTTATTAAAATTTTCCACCTTCTCCCCTCCTCCATTTCCCTTCCACTCTCCTTCTCCTCCTCCCTCTCCAGTCCTAAGAGCAGTCAGGGTGCCCTGCCCTGTGGGAAGTCCAAGACCCTCCCCCCTCCATCCAGGTCTAGGAAGGTGAGCATCCAAACTGACTAGGCTCCCACAAAGCCAGTACATGCAGTAGACTCAAAACCCAGTGCCATTATCCTTGGCTTCTCAGTCAGCCCCCATTGTTAGCCACATTCAGAGTGTCCTGTCTGATCACATACTTGTTCAGTCCCAGTCCAGCTGGCCTTGATGAGTTCCCATTAGCTCAGTCACACTGTCTCAGTGGGTGGACGCACCCCTCGTGGTCCTGACCTCCTTACTCATGTTCTCCCTCCTTCTGCTCTTCATCTGGACCTTGGGAGCTCAGTCAGTGCTCCAATGTGGGTCTCTGTCTTTATTTCCATCCATCGCTGGATGAAGGTTCTATGGTTATATGCAAGATATTCATCAGTGTGGCTATGGGAAAAGACCAGTTCAGGTACCCTCTCCTCTGCTGCCCAAGGACCTAGCTGGAGACATCCCCTTGGACACCTGGGAACCACTCTATAGCCAAGTCTCTTGTCAACCCTAAAATGGCTCCCTTAATTAAGATATCTTCTTCCCTGCTCCCATATCCACCCTTCCTCCATCTCAACTATCCCATTACCCCAAGCTCTCCCCATCCTCCCCTTCTCTCTTCTCTCTCCCCATCTACCCTTCCCCCACCCACCCTCACCCCTGTGCTCCCAACTTTTGCCCGGTGATCTTGTCTACTTCTAATATCCAGGAGGATAAATATGTTTCACCTTATTATTTAGGTTCTCTAGGGTAATGAACTATAGGCTCAATGTCCTTTGTTTATGGCTAGAATCCGCTTATGTGTGAGTCCATACCATATTCATCTTTATGGGTCTGGGTTATCTCACTCAGTAAAGCGTTTTCTATTTCCATCCATTTGCATGAAAAATTCAGGATGTCATTGTTTTTTAACGCTGAATAGAACTCTAATATGTATATGTGCCACACCTTCTTTATCCATTCTTCCACTGAGGGACATCTAGGTTGTTTCCAGGTTCTGGCTATTACAAATAGTGCTGCTATGAACATAATTGAACAAATGCTTTTGTAGTGTGATTGGGCATCTCTTGGGTATATTCCCAAGAGCGGAATTGCTGGATCCTGAGGTAGGTTGACTTCCAGTTTCCTGAGAAACAGCCACACTGATTTCCAAAGTGGTTGCACAAGTTTGCATTTCCACCAGCAGTGGATGAGTGTTTCCCTTACTCCACATCCTCTCCAGCATAGGCTATCATTGGTGTTTTTGATTTTAGCCATTCTGACAGGTGTAAGATGGTATCTCAAAGTTGTTTTGATTTGCATTTCCCTGATGACTAAGGAAGTTGAGCATCCTTATTTTTTATCTTTTGCTCTATCGTGTGTGTGCACTCTGTTCCTGCAGTGTCTATGGAGACCAGAAGAGGCATTGGGGATTTCTTGGAACTACAGTTCCAGATGGTTATGAGCCACCATGTGGGCACTGGAAATTGAACCCTTGTTCTTTGGAAGAACAAGTCAGTGTTTTTTTTAATCACTGAGCCATCTCTTAAGCCCCTGCAGTATTTTTCTTTAATTGATAAGCTCATAAGATAGATACATAGCTTTGTGTGTGTGTATGTTTGTGTATCTGTATTATGCATGTATCTATCAAGTTAGTATATATATCACTACTGTAGGAATAATATTTATTGTATATGAACATCTGTTCTTAATTTCTGATTACTAAGTAAAGAGAAATACAGTGTTTGTTTTAGACTCAGAAGAGCCAAACCATTTCTTTCTCAAATTTGAAAATGTATCAACATAAGCCAGTTTGTTCTTGAAGTTTGAATTCATATTGGTGTCAAGTTTAGAAATTTGAGGCTCAATAAGATACACTTATATGTTTTCTCATGATTTTAATTTCTTTTAAAAAGATTTTTGTTTTTAGATTTAAAAATTTTATTTTGTGTGTATTTTATGATTGTTTTGCTTGTGTTTATGTATAATAGTAACTGGCATCTAGGGAATTCAGAAGAGGGCATTGGGTTACCTGGTATTGAGTGTTGCAGATGGGAGTGAGCTATCATCTGGGTGCTGAGAATCAAACCCCTGTTCTCTGCCAGAGCAGCAAATGCTCTAAACCTTTGCGCTGTCTCTCCGCCTGTTTTATTTTTTGATACTGACTCTTGGGCTCTATAACTGAAGCTTGCCTGAACTCCAGAATCTCCTGTTCCTGCAGTATCTCTGAGAGCTGGTACTACATATTATCACATCTTAGCTGTGATTTAAAATACCCTAATATGTATGCGTATCTTGACTTTCTAAGAGAACGATTCAGTGTTTTCCTTACTTGTGTTTTCCTTAAACACCTTTTCTTAAATACTGGCTCAAGTCCTCAAAGACAATGGATTGTTTATCTTCTATAGCATATTTGTAGACAGTGCCATAATTGCTTTTTATTTGACATTATATGTTGATTTAAATTTCTTATGGAACATAGTCCAGAACATTTCTTATTTCTTGCAAGAAGCCTAGTACTTTCATATGTATCTGGAATTACTACTTTTAGGAAGCATATGCAAGAGAGCCTTGAGTTTTAAGTATTCCTGTTGCTTTTGAGCCTACTGGATTAGTGTTTGGTCCATCAGTTTTTCTCTCCAGACTGAGGCTGATTGATTTTTTTGTTAGTGAAACTGAGTTTCTGCCCTTTTCGTCTATTAGGGCTGCCATTACTTTCATGTGTGACTTGGGCCTGAACAATCTGTCTCGGGCCAGCTGGAATACTTACTTTGGGAGCAGCAAGGGATACCATGTTAGCCCTCAGATATAAGCTCCTTGGATGTTCAGTGCTGCTCTTTTTCCTATTGTTTGTGTTCTTTCACTTTAGTCAGTTTTTCTGTTTCTACATGCAATAGATAAATTACTGTGTTAGCTGCTATCTCTTCATTTACTGTCTCTTCTGTCTCCTGGTATTAGTTTGCTTGCCTTCCATCTTTCCTTGTTGCTGACACACTATATTCTTTGGGTAGGTGGTTGTATGGATCATTGTTTTCCTCCATTTTAAGTGTCATATCCTGAATATTCTTCCACTTCTCTGTCCCCTGGAAATCATTTTGTAACCAAAGTTGACCTTAAACGTTTGATCATCTTGCTTTCTTTCATCTTCCATGTGCTCAGATTACAAGACCCTGCCACCATTCTGGGTTTCTGTGCTAGGACTTTGTGTATTCCAAACAAACATTCTCCCAACTGAGCTATACTCTCTAGTTGTACCCTTTCTGACATACACAAATAGCTTGACTGAACTTTGGTTTTGTCAGGGTATTAGTATGTAACTTAGAGAAACCTTCAACTCTTGATCCTCCTACTTCTTCCTCCTGGACTTTATTTTTTTGTGATGTGAAATTTGAGTACTGTTCTTATTTGTGTACACAAGTGTTTATTTTTGATGTATGTGGAGGGTTGGTTTTCTGTTTTGTTTTTGTAGACAGGTTCTGTCACTGTGACTGAATTCACTGGTAGAACTTGCTTGGCTGGATAGTTCGTCTCAGGGTTCCATCTGTTTCTGCCTTCCTAGCATTGAGAGTACCAGTGTGTGTCTTAACACCTGTTTTTTTTTTTTAATGTGGGTGCTATATTAGTTACTTTCTGTTGCTCTAATAAAGAACATAGCAACTTATGAAAGGAGTTAATTTCACAGAATTAGAGTTCATGATGCAAAACAGGAAGTGTGTGTTTAGAGCAGCCCCCGAGAGCTTATATCTTGAGCCTGAAGCAGGAGGCAGAGAGAGCAATGGACATGACACAGCATTTGAAACCTCAAAGTCCACCCTCCAGTGACACACCTCCTCCAACAAGGCCAGACCTTCTCATCCTTTCTAAACATTAACTGGGGATCAAGTATTTAAACAAGAGCCCTTGTGTGGCCGCTTTCAGGTTACCATAGGTACTACAGTGCAAATTTAGTTATTCAGACTTTCTTAGTAAACTTTCCACCATTTTTTTTTTTTTTTTACAAAGAGACAGGTTTTGTCTTTTCCCCCACTCCAAGACAGGGTCTTACTCTTTACGTTGGCTATTCTGGAACTTGCTCTGTAGACCATGTTGGTCTCGAACTCAGAGATCTGCCTGTCTCTGCCTCCTGAGTGCTGGGATCACTATGCCTAGCTGAACCATGGGATTATAAACATGAGCTCCATGCTTGACCTGCAGACACCATAGATTTAACCTGACTTATAAAGTATGACTTCTTTATTGAGTGCATAAATTTCCCCATATATTGATTGGAGATAACAGTCAATGAAAAATTGTAGCTGAATATTTTAATTTTGAAGTTATGAATGAGAAGAATTCTAACATTCTGGTATTTTGCTTGTCACAGTATTGATTCAAAGAGAAATACTTGTGCAGTTGGTATGGTAGAAAGAACATTGAATAATTTGAACTCAGTGTTTTATCACCTTTGATATGGAAAAGAAAATATCTAATTTGTAAAATACAATACATATGTTTGTAAACTTTGAAATTTTTTGATATAATAATCTAATCAAAATTAGAGAAACATTTCTTATACATCATATATGCATTCTTGATATGTTGTCTTCATAAAAATCAGATTTCCCTATTTTTATGTTTTCTATAGAAAGTAAAATAAAAAATAATGTGGTTTTTTAATTTGCGTAATCAAGAGAGGGACTGTAGTAATCATTCTGTGAAAATGTTGTCAGCCTAGGGAAAACAAGTTCAACTGTTCTGATGACCTTGTTCTTGAACCCATATGCCAATACTTCCTTTTTAATGTTTTATTGTAGTTATATGATGTTGATTGATGGCACAAATGAAGTTTTCATGATTGACAGAGATAATTCAGTGTTTCATGTTTCAAATCTGGAATTTCCATTTCGTAAAGATCTCCGCATGCATTTATCAAATACACTTTTGGATGGGGTAAGTAATTTATTTTTGTATAGTTTTTAAAATTAAATAATGCAGTCATTATTAGTATGTCTGTTTAGAATCAAATGTAATTTTTATTTGAATGTTGAATTTTATTTCTTACCTGTACTTAAAGTAAATGAATTCCTTAAAAGATGAATCTAGAACTGGGTGGTAGTGCATGTTTTTAATCCCAGCACCGGGAAGAATCTCTGAGTTTGAGCCCAGCCTGGTCTACAGAGTGAGTTCCAGGACAGGCTCCAAAGCTACAGAGACCCCGTCTCGAAAAAATCAGGGGAGAAAAAAAAAAAAGATGGATTCACCTGAGAATGGCAGTGTACTTGAATGAGCAGAAGGATTGCAGCAGCAAATTCAAGGTCATCAAAGGCTTGCTTAATGAGATCCTGATCTCAAAAACAAAACAAACAGACCTCAAATATTCATCTTGGAGATTAAATAGCATTTTTCAAATTTTTTTTTCTAGTAGAAAAAAACATTCATGATATGGGAAATGAGTTAAACTTGGCATTAATCTAAAGGGAATAAAATAAAATCTTTGTTTTTATTATTAAAAAGTAGTTGTTATTTATTTTTGGTAATTATCAAGTGATTTTTTTCACTTTTTTCCCCGCAAATAGCTTTTTCCTACTTAGTTCTTAGGAAAAGAAAAGATACTTTAACTAAAAATTAAAATAATGCAGAACACAACAAAAAACCGGGTAAAAACTGAGCATGGTGGCACATACTTTAATCTCAGCACTTGGAAAGCTGATCAGGAATGTATCAATGCAAAGTCAGCCTGGGCTTTATATTAAGGTCCAGGCCAGTCTGGCTTCATAGTAAGACTGCCTCTAAAAAACAAAAGCAAATCAAACCAAACAAAGGAAAAGTAAATAAATTAAAAAAAAAAGACCATTGAAGCTTCTAATGATGGAATAATTTATGCTGCTATTTTGATGGCTTTAACTGTGTCCTTTGTTCAGAGTTGAAAAAATATAGCACATTCATATGAGTAACAGCAGCTTTGAGAACTGAACTTTTTCTTTCATATTCTCTCTCTCTCTCTCTCTCTCTCTCTCTCTCTCTCTCTCTCTCTCTTTCATTGGCTGTTTTATAGATAGTTTAGTAGTCATGGTTTGTCTTAAGTTCAAGAACCCCCTGTTCTGCAAGTGGTGGGATTATGCGTGTGTAACACCACAGCAGGTTTTAGAGTATAGATTCTTTTTCTTTTTTTCTTCTAAGACAGAGTTTCTCTGTGTAGCCCTGATTGTCCCGGAACTTATTCTGTAGACCAGGCTGGCCTCGAACTCAGAGATCTGCCTGCTTCTGCCTCTTGAATGCTGTGATTAAAGGCGTGCATCATCACTGCCCAGCTAAGTTATAGACTCTTGTTTTTGTTTGTTTTTGTTTTGAGATTTGGTTTCTGAACCTTTGGAGCCTGTTCTAGAACTAGCTCTTGTAGACCAGGCTGGCCTTGACCTCCCAGAGATCTGCCTGCCTCTGCCTCCCCAGTACTGGGATTAAAGGTGTGTGCCACCACCGTCAGGCAAGGGCATAGACTCTTAACCAGAGTTTGTTTGCAGCTTTAGGGAAGCTAGGGGCCTAATTAAGTCTCAGAGTTTGAATATTCACAAAATCTTTAGCTTGGCTGACAAAAGGAGTGCTCTGATCAAGTATGTGCACCTGTAGATCATTCCTTGATTGCTTCATCTGCACAAAGAACTAAGTGCTTTAATGATTTTTAAAGTAATTCTTACTTGCAGTTTGTTTTGGGCTTATTATTTTATTTAAAGGTTGAAATGGTGTACCTATTTGTATAAATATTATAAATTTGGATTTCCAAACTCTTTTTAGGTTCTGTGGGACTGGAATCCCAGATGATTGTGAGCTAACATATTCAATGCTGGGGGTCAATTTGGGATCTTCTGAAAGAACAGTCTGTGCTGTTCAACCCTGAATCTGCTCTTCAGTTATTCCAAACTGTTTTAATGGCAGAAATCATAGGGTTAAAAGTTACTTAGGTGGTGGGCAAGATTGCTAAGTGGGTTAAGGTGCTTTCTGTGCAGGTCTAGTACCTGAGTTCAATCCCCAGAACCTATGGAAGGCAGAAGGGGAGAACTTACTTTACAAAGCTGTCCTCTGATTTCCACACGTACTGTAGCACATGAGCTCTCACATACATGTCATGCACATACACAATAGTAATAATAATAGAAATAAGATGCAAAATGAAAAAGTTCCTGTTAAGAAAAGAACTAATAAATAATTGAAACAAATTCTAGGTTTAATTAAAAAAATATTTTTTCTATAAATTTATTTGATTATTTAGATCGATTGGTGTTTGTATTTCTTCATACTGACTACAGTAGGCTTTCTTGTGGTAATATTTAAGTCTTGTACATATTTTAGTATATTTATATATTATGTAAACAACAACAGTAGCAGCAGCAATAAGAAAGTATATGATTCTTTCCAGCTAGGTATGGTGTGGATACCTTTAATCCCAATATTCAACAAGTTGAGTCAAGAGATTGTTAACTTCAAGACCAGCCTGGGCTACATAGTGAACCTGTCTGAAAAGTATCAAACCGAGGGTTGTTGTTGATTGCTCAGTGAATAAAGACTCTTGCTGCAAGTTTGATGTCTGGAGTTGTTTCCTCCATTTGGTTGGAGGGAACTGACCCCTGCAGTTTGTCTTCTGACCTCCACACATATGCCATAGCATGCATACAATCCTTCCTACACATAAATGAATATAAACACACACACACACACACACACACACACGCGTGCGCGCACACACACTTAAACAAACCTCTCTCTGTCCTAACAGCTGGTCCTAGATGTCCTAAATTGTAGTCTCCAAAGTGAGAGAATCTATATAAGTGACCAAGAGATTTTGGTGGACATTGCAGTTTTTGTTTTAGATTTTTTCTAATCATAAATGTATATCTTGTATGTTCAAAATTGTACAGTTTTATAATAGAGTTTTTTTCTAATAGTACTTTTTAAATTGCTTTTTATCTAGTGTGTGTGTGTGTAGGTGTGTGTAGGTGTGTACATTTCATGGCTAGTGAGAGGAAGTCAAAGACAAATAGGAGTTGGTTACCCTTCCATTTGGGCCACAGAAATTGAATTCAGGTTGTCTAGCTTAGCTCTAGGCTTTGTCTCAGTGGCATTGTCACATTGTGTTAACACTGAAGTTTGATTTGAGATTTTCTCATTTAAGAGGGTCAGAGTGATTTCTGAATTCAAAAATAGTATGTATAGCAATGAAGCCTTCACTCCACTGCTTCCCTGGCCTCATCAGTTCTGCTGAGTGACCTTACACTGTTCTCTCAGTTTTCTTCTCTGTGGTGACATGGAGAAGACTGGGAAAGTTTGTAAGGTGATTTGATAGGATCCTTATGTGAGTCATTATGAGACTTAACATCTCACTTCTTCGTGAGTTATGATTTTGATTCTGGGAGCCCCTGTTCAGAACCTTTCTACAGTTTCCTTATGGGTATTCATTTTTCTCCTATCAGCTTATGAGGTCTTTTGTCTTACTGGGTCATATTTTGTTACATATGTTGAAGGTTATGTTTCTTTTTTTTGTCATTTCATGTACTATACAAAAGTTTAAATATATGTAGGTCAAATCTTGGTGCTTACTCTCAGCTTTTTCACATTTCAAGACACCCTTCACCTCAGGATGATCATAATACCTATATTTATTTTAGTGTTTTCGTTACATATTTGGATATTTCATCCAGCCCAAATATCTCTTGATAGTAAGGTACAGGTGCTGTTTTCTTATTTAAATGTCTAGACTGTCAAAACCACTTAACTGCTCTGTCTCCCCCTTTTTGTTGGAAGTATAAATTTTTATATGCTAGATTCCACTGTTACCCGAACATTTCCTCCCTTCCTTCCTTCTATTTTTTTCCTTTATTCCTTTCACGGGGTCTTGCTCTGTAGCCCAGGATGTCCTCAAATCTGAGATCCTGCCTCTGTCTCCCAAGTGCTGAGATTACAGCGTGTACTACAATAGTAGGCTATCTTGTTTCACTTCCTTATTTCATTAATTTTTGATTCTTCTAGTGATAGTTTTAGATTCTTTTAATCCTGAGAGTTTATCTCAGAACTGGAGAAGCCTAGTGTATACCCAGTCTCCTGGATGTTCTTCTGTTTGCTGCTGAGATTTTACTCCTTTCTTTGTTTTTGAGTGAACCAACTATGCATAACAAAGAGACTAAACTGCTGTGTTAAACACCATGTGCTGGTTTAGATGGCAGTAAGCCTACGCTTTTTTTGTTCAGAAGAATTCTGTGAGGGTTATATTCAGACTTTTTACTTTCTTGGTTGCTACTGTCCCTCATAGTTGATCTCCTGCACAGGGCAGTATAGTATAAAGAGGGTGAAATACTTTTAAAAGAGTATTTCTTATAGGTTGGGGTAGTTTATATTTAACTAGTATTTGTTGAATATCTCTTATGAGTGCAGGCATTGCTTAGAGTGTGCAAGCCTCCTCTTTCTGGAAACTATTGGGAAGGATAGACAAAGATTAGTAACAATCGGGGGTACCTTTAATTAAAACTGTAGCCCTAAGATGTACTTAAAACAAGTCTTGTGGTCATTTGGAGGAGAAATGATTCTCATTAATGATGCGGAGTTGGATATTCTTTATGTAGGAGTTTGGATTAAAGATGGACGATGTGGGGCCTAGAGAGCTGCTTGCTGTGCAGGATTAAAGACCTGATCTCAGATACCCATGTGAAGCTAGTTGTGACTGAGTGCTTATAACTATAGGGCTGTGGAGAGCAGGGACAGAAAGATCACCAGGGCTTGCTTGCTGGCAGCTGACCTAGCTACAGTTCAGTGAAAGATCATATTTCAAATGACTAAGTCTGAGAGTAAGACACCTGATGTTCTCTTCTGGTCTTCACAAGCATGGGCAGGCATACCATATGTGTACACTTAAACTATACATGTTCACATACACATAATGAAAAATGGATATATGGAGAGTTCTATTACTCTGAGGCCAATTATGTATGAGATAAATGACTCAGAATGCAATGTGCAGCTATCTGCAGGTTTGACTTGGTAATTACTATTTATTTTTCACTGTAGACGTGGATTACTAGAGCAGCATAATAGATTCTTGTGAAGTCTCTCCTTTTTTCCTTTTTCTTCTTTTTTTTTTGAGGTGGGGGAGTGTTTCCTGGAACTTGCTTTGTAGATTAGGCTGGCCTTGAACTCAAGAGATCTGCTTTGCTTATCTTCCTCCTGAGTGGTGGTATTAAAGGCCTTTGCCTCCACTGCCTGTCTGATTATTATTTTTAATTGAAAATAGATTCTTTGTCATACAATGCATCCTGACTACAGTTTCTCCTCCCTTCACTTCTCCCATCTCTCCTCTCCCCTAGGGGTTGTTACCCTACCCCCCATTTCCTCTTCTTAAAAGAGTAGAGCTGACAACCAAACAGGACAAAACAAGATACAATAAGACAAGGCAAAACCCTCATATCAAGACTGAACAAGGCAACCCAGTAGGAGGAAAAGAATCCCAAGAGCATGCAAAAGAGTCAGAAACACACTCCCCATGTTAGAAGTTTCATAAAAACACCAAGCTAACAGCCACACATATTCACAGAGGACCTAGTGCAGAACTATGAAGGGCCCGTGCTTGCTGCTGTAGTCTCTGTGAGCCCATATGAGTCTCACTTAGTTGATTCATGTTCTCTGGCATCCTCCATCCCCTCTGACTCCTACAGTCTTTTCTCCTGTTCTTCCCCGGAAAGAGATCCCTTAGAGACCTTCAGTTTAGACTCTCCCCACATAATGTCTGACTGTGGGTTTCTGCACCCACTCCCCTCTGCTGCTGGAGGAAACCTCTCTGATGACTGGAAAAGACATTGATTTATGTGTATAGTAGAATATCATTAGGAATTGTTTCATTGTCTCCCCACCCCCAGGTCTCTGGTCTGTATAGTTTTTTTCTATATTTTCAAGTCTAGTGATTTTTCTTTGCCAAGTTGCTATTAATCCTAACCATATTTTTGTATTGTTTTCCTGTTGAATTTCTTTGATTATTTGTGTTATACATTTCTAATTATCTCTCTAATCCTAAATGGCAAAACAGCTATATATGAATGAAGGTGACTTAGTGTTTGATCTGCTAACTTTATTATCTCTGCCAGCCTTGAGTCTGTTTTGTTTGGCTTATATTGCATGCCCGGTAATGTCTGAATGTCAGTTATCTTAAGTTTTACCTTGTTGGAAAGAAGTAGCCATCTTTTCCTATTCCTGTAATTTTCCTTGTCCTTCTCTCTCTTTCTTTCCTTATTTACTTTCTTTTCTTTTCCCTCTTGAATTTGTAGCATTGCAGATATATACTGCCATACCTAATAGTGTGTTTAAGTTTTTAAAACTGTTCTGGAATCTAGTTCATAAATTTGAAACTGTAACTCTTTTGTTTTTTAGAGCTTGATTTTAAGATTTTTTTTTTTTGGTAGACCAGAGGGTTTTTTAAATTTTATTAGTTCTTTGTGAATTTCGTACAAGGTATTTTGATCATTATCACCGTCTTCCCCATTTTTTCCCAGATCTGTTCCTTTTCTCTCCGAATTTACCCTTGTGTCTTTTTTAAGTTATTTTTATTATTCTTGGCTATGTGGTCTTCCACTAGAGTGCTGCCACTTACAAGGAGCTACACTCTTAGAGAAGACTGTTTCTTCCTCTTCCAGCATATAACAGCCTCTAGCTCCATGGTTAAGGGTGGGATTTTGTGCTGGCTCTCTCTTTTCTTGGGATTTGGTCTGGATTGGGCTTGTATAGTTTCTGGTGCATGTTGTCACAACCACTCTGAATCTGTATGTGTGTCCGTCCTGCTGTGTTTAGAAGATACTGTTTCCTTGTAGGTTAGTTATCCCATCACCTCTGGCTCTTAATACTCATTCTGTCTGTGTTGTGTCCTCCCATTCCCCCCACCCCCCGCCTTTGTGCAGTGATCTTTCTTTAGGACCAGAGTAGTTTTTAATGTAGGGATGATTCACATTATTGAAACCATATTCTTCTCAGTACCCAGTGTTCTACGGATTAGGGACTCCTCCCCTCCCTTGCTTTCCCTCCTGTCTTCCTCAAAAAAGGTGTCCTGTGTAGCTCATTGCCTTAGTTACTGTTCTGTTGTTGTGATGATACATGTGACCAAGGCACACATTTAATTGGGTGTTTGCTTACAGTTTCAGAGGGTTGGTTTATTGTCATCACGGTAGGGAGAATGACAGCAGCAGATATGGAGCTGGAGCAGTAGCTGAGAGCTCAAACCTGATCACTAAGTTTCAGGCACACACAGAGTGAGACTGGACCTGGTGTGGGCTTTTGAGACTTTAGAACCCACTCCCAATGACATACCACCTCCAGCAAGGCCATTCCTCTTCAAACATGGCCACATCTCCCAATCCTTCCCAAAGAGTTCCACTAACTAGGGACTAAGTATTCAAATATAATGAGCTTATGGGGCTAGTCCCATTCATACATGTTGGGCTGATCTCTTCATGTCCCATCTTTCTAAGTGCTAGTATTACAAGTGTGTGGTACTGTGCTTGGCAGCTGAGATCTTCTGATCTTCTGATCTGGTTATCAATATCTGGTAACAGGTATTGGTCTTGTGCTTATACTATGTGTCAAGTGCTGGGTGGAACTTGCCTGACTTTGAGTTGTCTCCCCACACGCATTCAATGAAGAATATTATATTCCCTTGCATATTCAAGTAGCCCATCTACACGCCTCTGGAGTTTTCAACTGAGTGTCTGTCTTTCTTGCATGTCCTCTCTCTTCCACCTTCTCCTTTCCTCTTTCCCTCTTGTCTCTCTCCAGGATCTCACTGAGTAGCACTGACTGGTGCCTGTCCTTCAGTTCACTATGTAGACTAGGCTGGCTTCGAACTCAAAGAGAACTTGCTACTCAGCTTTGCTTCCTGAGTGCTGGGATTAAAGGTATGCACTGCCACACTCAGCAACTCTTATATTCCTTTTGCCTTCTCTTTTGCAGTATACTCTGAGCCTTGGAGGAGTGAGAGAAGTCAGTTTATGGCTGAGATTTTAGCAGTTGCTTATTCTCATCAACTTGACCAGTTAGGGGTTTCAGCGGTTACCAAGTCTCACGCAAAAAGCTTTTCTGACTAATGCCAGCGATAGTGCTAATCTGTGGGCATAAAACAATTATTTGGAAGGTAATTTGATAGGCACATCATGCCAAATTACAAAATCAGTTTGACCTCCCCAGCCATCTACTGTTGACTGAATTTACTGAACCATATGTGAATACCTTCCCATGGAAGGGGCCTCAACTCCATTAAGAAAGTGGCTGACTTACCAGTGTTACAGGCTGTTGTGCCAGTGTGCACATCTTGTTTGGTCTGTCTGTAGTGTTGTACATAGGGTTCATAGCTGAACAAGACTGTTGTGACGATTTTCCTCTCAGCCATTTGCAGAGGACGTTCTAGAGCTTCATGGGGCAAGGAGCTTCCAGCCAACCTAACTTGATTTTCCTCTGTACTATTACAAGAATGTATTGTGTATTTTGAACTGTCATTAAACAAATAGACAAAAAACACTTGCTCATTCGTTTATTACATTTTGTTTGTTGATAATACCCTTTCCTTTTGGCTTTTTAAACCAACGTTTAAAGGAAATCTTTTATTTATTTTTTCTCATTTTATCAGATAATTTATAAGGGGAATTCCTTGCTATCCAACTTAAAAATTCACTTTTTCTTAGTCCTAGTTTTGAAAAGAACCTTTAACTGAAATCTTGGTGCCACCTTGTTATTGCATCAGGCATTCAAATGCAAATGGTTAAATAAATTTAGTTCAGTTAAAATAACACATTTGAGACTGGGGCTGTAGAATACTTGTTTATCATGATCAAGACCCTGCCTGATTTTATCCAAAGCACTGCAAAATGATGCTGAATTTCAAATTTTGCTATTTACTCTTAAGTATTGTTAGTAATTCAAACATAAAGCAGAGTGTGTTATAGCCATTCAAGTGTAGAAAAACATATAACTGGTTGTGCAAGTGTATAATTTAGTGCTTTGAAGGCTGAGGCAGAGACTTTCTGAGAGTTCCAGACTAGCCCTGACTACTTAGGAGCTGTGGCCTATCCAGGGGCTACATAGAAAGAACCTGTCTGCAAACAGATCTATACACCCCAACCCAAAACACAAGGAGATAACACCAGAGATTATTTCAACATATATTATAAATACATAGTTAAGATTTTTGATATGATGAAAACTTATGTATGAAAAATATCATATGATTTGATATGAGTACAAGTGTACTACCTTTGAAACCTCATCAAGACATATATTGAAGATTTAGATTCTTTGTGTATTATATTTTCAAAATGAAAGAATTTGCTATTAAAGTAAAGATTAATCTTTGTTTCTTTCAAGGAAATGATCATTGACAAAGTAAATGGACAGGCTGTTCCAAGATATCTGATATATGACATAATTAAATTCAATGTAAGTATCTCTTCTAATTTATGAAATTATTAGAATTGTCTCTGAGATAATGTGTATGTTTATATATATTAATACTTTTTGTAGTTCTAGGGATTGAATTCATGGATTCACATGTGCTAGGCAAGTGCTCTACCATTGGGCTACACTTGCACTAATAAAATTACAAATGTTTTTAATAAATAAAATATTTAAGTCAGATATGGTGACACAGAGCCTAGAGGAGGGAACAAGGAGGACCAGGAGTTTGATGCCACCCTCATGATGCCACCTGTCTTGAAGAAGCAAAAATTATATAGTCATTACTTAAACCATACTGAGAGTATTTTATGATTTTGGAATTGTATGCCTATTACTGTACCTCATGATTTAAAGTCACGTATTTTTCACATACTTACTACGTGTTCGACTATTTAACCACTATAGAACTTTCACTGCTTTATTAGTCTTCATTTATATTGCTAGCCTCCAGATACCTGAGGCTGGGTGATTTGTAATCAGTGAATTTGGCTCCGGTTATTATGGTTAGAAAGTCAGAGTCTTAATTAAAATCTATTTGGTTCTTTTGTTTATTATTTTCTTCAGAAAGAATTTAACTGATCATTTTATTTATGCTAGATTCTGTAGTTACTGAATATAAAGAAATAAACTGATTTCTGATTTCTTACCTTCATACCATTTTCATAACAGTTCAATGGAATTTGAGAGCAACAGAGGAAAATTATTATTATTATTATTATTATTATTATTATTACTTTGATTTTTCGAGACAGGGTTTCTCTGTGTAACAGAGACAGTTCTAGCTGTCCTGGAACTAACTCTGTAGACTGGGCTGACCTGAAAATCACAGAGATCCGCCTGCCTCTGCCTACGCATGCTGGGATTAATGGCACGCAACACTACCGCCCAGCTGAGGAAATTTATTTTTAATGCATTTATTCTGTTTGGTTTGCCTTATACAGTTGTACCTGCATGCAAGTTGATAGTAGTAATGGCATACATTGTTTACATGTTAGAATATGTGTTTAGGTTGGATTTAATATTGAAATCAACTCGCAGACTGCTTATCTGTAGAGTTGAATAGGAAAGTAAAGAAATCTGGCTGGTCATAGTGGCTTACAGTTTGAAACCTCACACTTGAAAGACAGAGCCAGTCTGGTCTTTATAGCAGGTTTCTGGCCAGTGAGAGCTATACAGTGAGACCCTGTTTGTTTTCTTTATTTTTGTTTTGTTTTTTAAAGCATAGAAACAGAAACAGCATGTTAGTGCTCAAAGTAGCACTAACTGAGGTTTGTAAGATGTAGAGTGGAGCTGGAGGGATGGGAACACTTTATCCTTCCCTGGCTGTTATTGAGTCCTTGAGGGATGGAGTCAGGAACATTAGATGTTTCCATGCTTGATGTGTGGTGAGGAGTGGATCATACAGTAGATTGGGGAAGGTGGCAGGTTACTTAACTAAGGTATTTGAACTTAGATTTTAATGTAACAGGCTGTTATCACTTGAGGGTTTCAGTTATGGTGATGGTGGGGTGGGTAGCGTTTTTACTTCTTTGAAAGAACTCCATTGCCAGTGTGGGCAGTATTTGGAAGTGAGCAGGGACTGCTGAGAATGAGCCCAACACAGTGCTTTGAATGAGTCTTGCCATTTGTTCTCAGTGCTTCTACATCACGATCCAGAGCTTCCTGTACTATAGTCCTTGTGGGAGTGAAGGGAATCTACCTTCTGCCTATTCTTGTTTTAGTTATATAATATGTGTTTTAGTACAGAATTTAAACTACTTAAAGATCTTTCATTAAAAAAAGTTTGTTTGTGCCTGTACCTGAGTATTCCTAATAGGTCTAATAAACAAGCGTATCATTTTAGGTTTTCCACCATGGAGGGGATTGTATAGAGAGGGTCCTACATGGACTATGTCTTTATTAACTTTTCCTTAGTAAATATTCTTTATAAATGGTTGTGCATTTGTAGATAGTATCTTAGAAATTGTACTAGCTCCTGTGCAGTTTGTTTTCACTCCATGTTCTTAGTTGGGTGTAAAAGTTGTCATCCTTCCAAAGCGGAAAGAAAAGCATCCTGAAGCATGTGATGCCCGCTGCTCTTGTGAAACATTAGGTTGGGTAATGGGGACTGGAGAAGAGGAGCAAGAAGGTAGTGATGGGGTCGTAACTTTTCAGGAGTTGTTACGGCTGTGCCTTCTAACTTAGACAGTTACTATCAACCAGGAATAGTTGATAATATGTTTATATACACCATGTGGCTGGATAGGACATGAGCATATTTAAACTTATTATTAGTTTTCAGATTGAGGATGTATCTGTATAATAAATGTCTTCTTGCTGATGCTGTGAAGTCTGATCAGAATGGGTGACTATGCTATTTATTTCAAGTATTTATACTTTACTAAATTTGGGTTTTAGTTTTTATTAATATAGTTAAGTAATAAAATATGGTAGTTATATTAATGTATTAAGATTTGAAATCTGAACCAGCTTATAACAGGTATATGCCATTTTCTCCTGCTGCTGTATGTAATTACAATTTAAAAATAGCAATTGTTAACCTAATTATTGGAATGTACATGTATTGTGTGCAAGTTGTTCACTAGACATCTCAAAAGATTCCTATTTGTACAGTGTATAGTATTGTGTATAGTATTGCAGTCTTGGCACTAATGCTAATAATGTAGTTATTAGTGTTCAAATAAAAAATCTTCTCTCATTCAGGCACAACCAGTTGGAGATTGTGATTTTAATATTCGCCTGCAGTGTATTGAACGTGAAATCATAAGTCCACGGCATGAAAAAATGAAGACTGGGCTCATTGACAAAACGCAAGAACCATTTAGTGTCAGGCCTAAACCATTTTTTGACATCAATATTTCAAGAAAGGTAAAGTTTATTTTTTTTAGTTGTTAATTCAAGTTCCATTGCTCAGCTTGTGAGAGGAACAGAGATGATGTCTTTCCCAGGGTGATGCTCAGGGTCTCCTCTTCAGCAGTGTTCTCATTGTGGATACAACACCAAGCTGCTCTGCTGTTTATTAGAACAGTTTGTGATTAGTGATCATTGGTCTGTATTCTCATCAGCTCACATGGAGTCATTTAGAATGAACCCGGGAAGAAGAGAGGAGATAAAAGAAAAGAGAAGGAAAAAGAAAGGAGAGGAAAAGGAAGGGAGAATTTAATGTTGTTATTTTAATTTATTCATGTTGTTTAATCTAATACAGCCAAGACAGTTAAGGAATGATGAGCTGTTCAGGATTTAGATTCATTTACATACTTTCATAATAGTAATAACAAGTAGAGAGTTCTGTAATTCTAGTTTCATTTCAGTTGGAAGGCTAATTTAAATGGAATTATTTGGATTGATTAAATATGGTTGACAAAGTTTTAAAAGCATACAGCAAAAAGTTTAGTTGAAATATCTCTACTCATTTTTGCATTGAGTCAGAAAAGTAACAGCTTCTTTTAGTTTTTAGTGTATTTAGAATCTGAAAACCACATGGAAGTCCATGATCTATCTGTGCTGCTGCCAGCTGCTATGGGCAAGGCAACGTTTGCAGTGGTATTGATGACTACAGACTTATAGCTGAGAATGAGAGACATTGAAGCCTTCTGTGACAATCCCAACCCCTCCCAGAAAAGAAGAAAGAATCCAAAGAGGAAGTTATTGAGGAGAGTCCTTAAAAATTGTGATAAAGATGTAGCTCTTCACAGTGGATGGTGTTTGGCAGGAGGCGGCTTGTGGGGAAGCACTCAGTTTTCTTTAAGGGGCAGGCCTCTAGGAGTTTGACCATGTTTCAATGAGTGTATGGGCAGCATAATTTTTTTTTTTTGGGTGGGTGTGGGGAATGGAGGGTGGCAGGGTGGTCCTGGGAGGAATAGGAAGTGAATGTGATGGGGGTGCATTGTATGAAATGTCTAAACAAATAGTAAAAATACTAGGTTGGGGGGAAAGAATTCTATTATACTGTATAAACACATGTACTATTCATAGTTGTGAATCCATATAATGTAACTTATATGTGTATTTTCAGGGCTGACCATTTGGCACTGGACAACCATTTGGTGTTCTGTTCCCTGGGGAGGACCACCTCTCCCACTGGCAGGTTTACTCAGTTGCCTGTAGTTTTTTTGTGTAGGACTGAGGCCTTGTGCCCTCTTCCTTCCCCATGCAGTGTGGCATATTTGTTGATATTTTTCTTGTTCAACTCATGATTAGGCAGTCATGTTGGTGAGACTTTTCAGATGTAGCTTCCGATGTTACTAGGAGACTAGAATACTCTGTCTCCTGGTCAGATCAACAGCTACATAAGGATTGATGATATGACTCAGACGGTAAAGTACTTGCTGACAACCTGACATGGATCCCAGAACTCTTATGAAGGTGGAAAAGGAGAACATACCTCATAAAGTTGATCTTTGACCTCCATAGGCACATCAAGTCAAGTATGTGCATGCACATGCACGCACACAAAAGCTTAGTATGCTTTATGTTAGGATACCATGATAACTCATGAACAGGTTTGACTTAAAATGTAGATAAGGAGAGAGGACATGTAGCTTAAAACCGTAGAGACATTTAGGAATGTAATGTCGGAAAAAAATTCCAAAGGTAGCTTTAAATCGTGTCGGTCATTTAAATTATTAGCAGAACAAGAATTGTTTGGCTCCTCATTATTAACTTTGGCACTTTTTATGGAGATTGCCTGACTCTCAAAGACCATCTATCATCCTTAGTGAATGTATCGTCATCCTGTTTGTTTTGACCTATCTTCTCCAGTCTGAAGTTTTTGTAACAGTGCCTGTGCCTGTGTGTGTGCATGTGTGCGTCTTTTGAGGAGACATGACTCAAAAGACAAGTGTCTCACTGAAGCCCACGCTAGCATGGATGCGGCTCATGAAGCCTGGGAAACCTGGAGTACACTGCATAGCCTGCAGGGCTGGAGGGGGTGGGGAGTGTCCTCCCAGGTGGCTGGCTCAGTTTAAACCTCGTCTAGGTAGCCTGGCTGCTTTCTGCTTCTTCCAAGCTGCTGATCTGGTCTGAAGAGTCTTCTTTGCAGCTCAGCTTCCTTTCCTGTCCTGGCTGGGGGTTGGTAGGGTGAACATTGGAGCAGGGACAGAACTTTAATTTTTATTGTGTACTATGACAGGAAGGGGCCTAATGAATCTGGTTAGTTTCAGAGACTTCCTGAAGGTATTTTGAGTTACTTACCTTCCTGCTTAAGGAACTTCCTGCAGAATGGATGTTCTAATCTCTAGGAAACTGTTACATAACACTTCCTCTCCCTCTTTCTTTCTAATTAGATATGTAATCTGTCAAATATTCTACTACAGTTTTGTTCTTATTTATTTCTAAATGCTTTAAAATGTTTTTTTCTATTTCTTTTATTCATAGAATCTGATAAGTTCATTAGTTAGATTCTGAACAGTGATGACTTCTCATGGTTTAATACAGGGATTAGCAAGATTATATATTTACTTTTGTTTTAACTTTTTCTCATCATTAATTTATAAATATTTTGGCTAAATCAAATCATTCAATGTGTCTACTACCTAGTGTTGATTAGTGTGAAAATGACTTTCATTTTTCCTCTAACGTGAATATGTCATATGTACTTAACAAAATTGTGAATTTTTTTAATATCCAGAATGAATTTTAAGTAGATATTTGGCAAATCAGAACTTTTTCCCTTTTATTTATAGGAAGTAAAGATTTTAAAACAGATTAAGTTTTTATTTAGGTGAAATTTTCTCCTCATCTGTGTCACTAAAGTTGTGAGAGAATTGTAGAGAAATATATACATTTTGAATAGCCCTAAAATTTGGCCACATTGTGTAATATTGGCTCTGAGAATTTCAGTTTGCCAACTCTGCTCACTTGCTAATGGAGGTGAAACAAAACAAAACAAATGAAAGCCAGAGGGGAATTTCAAGAACATTGTAGTAAAATTTGCCTTTTTAATATTATTAACTATTAAGTCAGTCACAGAAAGTGCGTTTGCATTATTGCACAGTCATTACCAGCTGTCTGTAGAACTTCTTCATCTTTCTGAATTGAAACTCAGCTAGGTGTGGTGGAGTGCTCCTGTAATCTCAGCACTGTGACAGGGACGAAGGAGCAATAGAAGTTTGAGGTCAGCCTGAGATTCATGGGATCCTGCCTCAAAAAACCAAGACCACCAGCAAAAGGAAACAACTCGGAAACTTAATTAAACTCTTAAACTGCTGTGAATCATCTTAACCCTCCTTAGATTATCTGTCACTGAGTATAGCAAAAGACTTTATTATTAAACATTAACATTAAAGGAAATAAGCATGTTCAAACTCTAATATGAACTGCTTTCACATTAAAGAAATTATTTATGTTGGAAAATGAGATGCCAGCAAAGATGAAGTCAAAATTAAGACCCAAAATCACAGAGATCCAAAATCTGGATCCCAGTGTTTCTACTTCTCTCCTGATTCTCAGTTCTTACATGTTACAGAAAATTTTATAAATCTTATTAAGAAGAAGTTAAAATAATTTTAAAATTATCATTATATTTCTAAATATATATTCTTATTTTATAGCTCCTGGAAGGGAATTTTGCCAAAGAAGTCAGCCATGAAATGGATGGACTTATTTTTCAGCCTACTGGAGTAAGTTCATGTGCATCGATGCATGCATGTGTGCATATGTGTACATCAGTAATTTTATTTATTTATTTATTTTTTTTAAGTAAATTTTATTAAATTATAAAAGTTTCCATTTCCGCCCCTCTTCCCAACACCCTCCCACTCCCCCCACTCCCTCTCCTCCTCCCTCTTCGTCCCTTAGGGCAGTCAGGGTTTCCTGCCCTGTGGGAAGTTCCAGAAGTCTATGGGGTCGGGGAACGCCCAAGCTCCTCCTCGCCGGGACCTTGCCACGGGCCCGAAGCCAGCTCACCCCACAGAAGGCCCTCTGCTAGAAGCTTTATTTATTTTTTAAAAAGTTTTATTTATTATGTATACAGTGTTCTGTCTGCATGTCTTCCAGCACACCAGAAAAGGGCATCTATTCTTATCATATATAGATGGTAATGAGCCATCATGTGGTTGCTGGAAATTGAACTCAGGACCTTGGAAGAGCAGCCACTGCTATTAACCTCTGAGCCGTTTGTCCAGCTCCTCATCATTAGTTTTAAAGATTTTTTCAGTGTTTTCTTATAATATTTTGCCTTTTTTGCTAGAAATCTATCAGCGACATTAAATAAACACTTATTTTCTTCTGAGGCTCCTTATACCTTTAACTATTAGTATCTCAAAACTTTCTGTTTGCTATCATTGAGAAAAATTCAAAGGATTATGGAAGAAGATGAAGAAAAGTTGCTGTTTTGAGACCTTATTCCATGTGGATCTTTGCCATGTTACTGGTCAGATCACACATGAAATAAGTGTACTCTACTGCAAGCTTTCCTGCCTCATCAACACGCATGTGTGGGTCTGACAGTTGTTTGGTGCTGTGCTGTTAGTCCCAGGAGAGAACGCTGGCTCTTCTCTCGCCCTCTACTCAGTACTCAGTAACTGCCAGTGCATTCCCTTTCTGGTCACCACCCGATAACCAGTTCTTTATACAGCCATACATCCAAAATTGTCATGGGGTTGGAAATGGCTAGAGATACATGCACTGAGTAGAAACCTGGGTGGGGATTGGGCACCTTGTTCTGTAATGTGGTATTGGAATTTCTCTGACTGTTGAAGATTAAACACTGCCTATTCAACAAAGTTACATCCCATGTGGGAACACCCTCCCATTTTGTTTTCATTCACTCTGTTCTGAGAAATTAGGGTTTGAACTACTGAAAAGTTACACAGGCATCAAATTAGGTAACTGGAGCAAAGAAAAGGAGCTAGTAATTTTGAACATAAGGCATATAACACTAGATTATTTATACCTTAAATATACAGTGAAACCTTTAATGGCTATTTAGATGCAATATGCTGTGTTTTCCAGGCTCTCTTGTTAAATAGAGGAGGAAAAATCTTTAACTTTTGTGTTTGGAGGAGGAAAAAGTGGAGTAAGATAGAAACTAGGGCTAGAAATTGAAGAAAATATTCTTAGAAGATAGAATTTGGATCTTTGAGTTCCAATTTTTTCCAGAAGTGATCTTAAAGAATAAAAGAAGTAGTCTAAATATAATAATAAAAATAGAAAATTTTAGTGTGTGAAATTCATAGTTTAGTCCTGTACACATAAAAGATTTGAGTGAATCAGAAATGGCTGCAGAGGAATCTGATAAGGGTGTGCCTATAAAATTGCCCTCCCAGCTCTTGTGTCTGAACAGTTGGCCCCTTACCTGGTACAGGCTGCCAGCAGTGGGCCCTTGAGTGGCATAGCTGACTACCCTCTGGATTATGAGATAAAGTCAACCTTTCCTGACCAATTTTTTTTTTTGCCAGATATTTTGTTGCAGTGAAGAAAGCCTCTTTCTGGGATGTTGAGTAAAATCAGTTGAGTGATTACTCTGTTTCCTGTGTGGTTAACCATGATTTTATTACAACAGTTATGTAATTGATAACTGGTAAGGCAATTTCTGAAGCACTTGACTTGCCATCTTCTCACTGGCCTTCTGTTCTTTTAAATCCAGTTAGGCTAGTTTTTAAGCATTTATGAGTTCTGTTTAGGTAGTGGCTATGTCTTTGCCCTCTTGTTTGGCACTTGATACACGGTCATGTTGAATATTTGAAGCAGGAACCCATAGCTCGGGTGACCTGGTGTTCGTCATCAGTCCTGCTAACACAGATGCGTGGAGGTTTCTTTTCTTCCAGCCTTTTGGACTGACATTAGCTTTTTTTCAAAGTGTTAATTTTAAGGCATCAATTTTTTTGTCTGTTGTGAGATTATGTCCCTCTCTTCTTCTTCTCTTCCCTTCCTTTCTGTTTTATTTTTTAAAGACAGGTTTCATGTAGTACAATCTGGCCTCAGCTTGATATTTTGCTAAGGCCAGCCTTGAACTAACTCCTACTCTTCTTGCCTATCCTTCTCAAGTGCTGGGATTGCATGCATGATGCCACTAAGTCTGGCAGCATTGCTACTTTTATGGTGACAATACTTTTCACATTCTAGTCAGTTGTTTGGTGCCCCCCCCCCCCACATACAATGTCTTCCCCTGGATATAGACATTACTCTTTATTTTCATTATCAGTGCTTCTTTCCTGAACCAGAACTGTCACATTTTTACAGTACTTCCAGTGTACCAGCTTCATTTTGTGTTTGAAGGGATGCGTTTTGAAATGTTCCCTTCTCTAGTCTTGCTACATAGTTTTACTGCTCAGGATTCCTTTTTATTATCTTGACCTGAAAGTTCTGTCTTTTGAAATGTTCCCTTCTCTAGTCTTGCTACATAGTTTTACTGCTCAGGATTCCTTTTTATTATCTTAACCTGAAAGTTCTGTCTTTTCTTTCTTTTTAAATGGATAATGACTTCACTGGATTTTGTGTTTCCTGCTTTCTTGCTTGGTTTGAGTGAACCTGAAACTGTGATGTTTTAGAAACCAGTCTTTATGTTTTTGAGGCTCTTCCTTAGAGGAAGTTTTCCCCAGTAGTCTCTACTCTGCTTACTGTTTGCTACAGTCACTGTGACTTAGCACTAGCTCTTTATTGTGTGTTCTGAAGACAGCTAAAAGGCACATTAAAGAAATGTTGCAGTTCAAGACTACTGATCTAAATTCTCGGAGTTTAAGAAGTTTTTGATCTTATCTTAGATATATGTTGTTGGAGGCTGTTCATTCCCCGGCCGCCCAGAACCAAAATAAACAGAAACTATATTAATTGCAATACTCTTTGGCCAATAGCTTAAGTGTCTTTCCAACTAACTCTTATATCTTAAATTAACCCATTTCTATTAATCTGTGTGTTGCCACGAGGTCATGGCCTACCAGCAAAGTTTTGGCGGGCTCCAGATGAGGCATCTGCCTCTGGTGGCAGCTACATACCTTCTCCCTGGGTCTGTCTACTCTCTCTCTTTATCTTTTCCAGCCTGGCTATATTCGTTAAGCTATTGGCCAAAAGCAACTTCTTTATTTGTTAGCCAATAAAAACAACACATATACTGAATGACTTCCCACACCAGATAAATATTTTATTTTATGTTTTTCTTATATTAAATTGTTTTCATCTTCTCCTTTTCTTCAGATATACATATTTACTTTTAGGGATTTAACTGCTGTGAACTCCTGCATCACCGTTCAAACCACCTCTTTCATTTAAAAGCCTCTATTACTCTATTTCTTAGCATTACTTATTTTTACTAGGGACATGTAGTTGTCTTTCCCCCATCCCCAAACAGGGTGATTGTAAAAGAGCTCCCAAGTGTGGGAAGACTGAGAGAAGGATCCCTAGGGAGGAATGAGAGGGCTTCAAATTTTCACTTATTACTTAAGTCAGTTGTATCTTAGCACCTTCCTTTTGTTCCTTGTCTCTAACTTTTGTGATCATTTGTCATAATTTTTATTGTTCTATTTAGCTTATTAGCTGTATTAGCTTTCAATTCTAGTTCTGTTTTTCTGACCTTATAAAATTATATTGTGGGAAATAGCCTCACTTGGAGAAATTGATAGAAAAGAGACCCATATAGACTAACTGAAACACAGTCATTGATGCAGAATGGCATTTTACTCAACAAAAGGTTGCTTATAATACAGAGGTCTAGGGCTACACAGATGCTCTTCTAAGAGAACCTGAGTTTATTTCCAAACATTTGTATCAGGTACCCGGCTCTGTCTTTAATGGAATTGCTCCGATCTATTTAGAGTACTGCATAGGAATCTTTTGGAACTGTCTATTAGGTCTGGAGGTGCATCCACTGGACCACCATAATCACCTCAAGACAGTCATGAATGAGTACTTTCCAGTTGTACTGAGGCATGAGGGTAGCAGGATTAATGGCGGTGGGTTTCTCAAACTGCCCTTGGGTGGTTCAGGAATAGTGCCTGGTCCTGGGTCACACATTTGACAGCTAGTGGTTTGGTGTTCATCTGAAGAAGGCCTCAACCCCATAGAGTGCTGTGAGTATAAGAGTTAGCTTGTTTGTTTCTTTCACTGTTACAGCTCTTAAACAGGTGGTTTAATCAAAGTATGCCAACAGGGCATTTCTGTGGACCCAAGGTTTGGGTTAAAACCATCTTTGTAATATAGTTTCCTGGACAAACAGATGAAAAGGGTTTGAGACATCTGGAAGTGCTAGGGCTGGAACCAAAGTCAGAGCTGCTTTTAAAGCCCTACATACCTTTTGTTCAGTCTCAGTCCAGATTAGAGGCTCAGTGCTCCCCTTTATGCTGGTGTATAGAGGCCTCGCTCTTCCCTCAACACTGGTATCCAAAAGTGGAATGTACAGCTGTCACTGTGAACTCTTGAACTTGTCTCTTAGTCTTTGGAGTTGGGATCTGAAGCATGGCTGCGATCCTACTTTGAGACAGGCTCTTTTTACTTCCCCTCAGCTGGTTTCTGAGATAGGTAGCCTCTAATGTACAAATTTAGGATAGCTTATCTAATGCTCTGTAGCCCAAGGTCTTAATAACCCTTATTGTGGTTTCTCAGTGGCCCTTTTAGAGTCTGTTTCTCTTTCAGAAGTTAGGAGGAGGTCATCCACATATTTTAAGAGTATAGTCTCAGAAGGTTG